GCTGCCACACGACCAAGGAATGTACCGACTACAAAAGGGGGGGGACTTCATCCTACTCATCGTCTACGTCAATGATCTACTCTACGTCGGCTCCACTACCAACGTCGTTACCTGGTTCGAAGGGGAGCTAAAGAGCGACTTAACGCCCACGGTGTCAGACACTGTGAGCCAGTATCTAGGTATGAACGTCGTAGAAGACAACTCAGCGTTCTACCTACACGCTGGAAAATACGCAGGCGTCGTCGCGAAGAAATTCGGACTAACGCCGACTGTAGTCGCGACTCCCTACCGCTACGGGAACAACAACGACACCTCCGCAAAAATCCCCGCAAAGCAAATCCAGGAGTATCAGCAGAAGCTCGGTTGCCTACTATTCGCAGCAGTAACTTGCCGACTGGATCTATCTTACAGCGCGAGCCAACTAGCGACACATCTGAAGTAGCCGGGACAAGAGGATCTCGAGGATCTAAATCGGGCACTGCTCTACTTCGTCTCTACACCGACGACCGGACTTACCTACAGTAAAACAACGACATCGTCCGTACAACTACTCGGATACGTCAACGCCGACCACGCAGGAGACATGGAAAATCGACGCTCAAGGACGGGCTACATCTACCGACTAGAGCCTATCGGGACCATCTCCTGGCAGTCAAGCAAACAAGAACTAATCGCGCTATCTTCGGCTGAAGCGGAATACATCGCCCTCTGCACTGCGACCAAAGAAGGACTCTACCTGCGAGAGCTGCTCGAGGAAGCGAAAATCGGAAAACTGCCCACCTTCTCGATATTCTGCGATAACCAATCCGCAATTAAAATCGCGAACAAGGACGGGTTCGCTAATCGAACCAAGCATATCGCCCTGCGGTACTTCTTCGTCAAGGATGAAATCACGAAGGGGAGACTTCAACTCAGTTACTGCCCTACGACAGAAATGGCCGCAGACTACCTGACGAAGAAACTGGCGAAGGCAAAATTCGATTACTGCATGCTGCTGACCGCGCAGATATACGTCACCGAATCTGAACACGTCAGCACTCCAGAAACGAAGGGGAGTGTTGGAAATACCTCAAGGACTTGAGCGTTTCTGAAGTGTAACACCACACTCGAGTGAAGCCGTATCGAGTATACAAGTCAACGGAGGTTACACGAGGAGGTTGGACGAAAGACTCGAAGGTGTTAAAGTGAGAACGAATGATAACTAGAAGTGGAAACCTAGAACAAATACTAGTTGGTTGTACTCACTAGAAGCATACCTCAGTCTAGCCTAGAACTTCTACATAGATAATATGTATAAGTTGACAGAAGGGTCGCAACCCGAGGTTGCGACTGACCGTTACAATTGGAAGGGTGGTAACCAGGGCCCTAGATTGGTTTTGAGGCTTCCTGATCCATCAGGATTCTCCCTGCAGAAAAGTCTGAATTTTCAGGGTCCCCTAAAAAAAAATCATGAGCCATCAGAATTACTTTATAAAAAAAAAAAAAAAAAAAAAAAAAACTGATTTTCCAATCTTTCTATACATGTTATAGTTCATGAATTTTGTGTGTTCAAGTCTTGGTTTTTGGGGGTGCTGGGAATTCGTAGCCAATTCGCGCGCGTGTGGCGAGATTGGGGGATGGGCAGGAAACGACAATTGGTGGGGGGGAGAGGGGGGAAGGGCTGAATAGGGGGGGAGGCGGCGAGATTGCAGGGGCGGAGGGAACCTCTTCCCTCGCAGAGCCCTAGGGCAGGCGCACATCAAGCAAATTCGGCGAAGGGCTAGCAATTGCCCTCACACAGTCCTCAGCACACCTCCCTCACATGACCTCCAACATACAACGCGCAGATTTTTTTGACCAAGGGCCAATCAGCGCCCTCACACAGCCTCGGGGGGTGGGGGAAGGGAGGGGGGGGGGGAACCTCGAAATTCTTGACTGCCCCCCCTAGATACGCTTTTGGAAAGGACTAAGACCTGCTACAATGCTGAGAAATTCAGGGTTCGCTAAGAATCCTTGCTGATACTAGTGCAAGGGTTCAACTACTCAACTTCCGCTGCACTACTCAAGTATCTCGTACAACTGGGACTTAGTCTCTGAAAGATCCTAAGGGCTTTTCTCAGCCCAACAGAGTCTATACAAACATTAGAGATACAAATGTTTGACAATTCAACCTTCACTATCACATTTTACAAGACTTCCGCTGTCTTACTAGTCTAGCATTCCTTTAAAGATCCTAGGCTAACACTTGAGGTTTTTCCAAGTGTTCGTGCTTGCAGATTCTGTCAAACATGTATATCTACTATGTTTGCATAGACTGAATAGAGTCATGTCTTATATAGGGTACAACTCTTAGGTATATTCACATGTTCTCTCTCTTTTAATTCATCCTTCTACTTTGATATGGTATCACGCGTAGGTTTCGAACCCCCCCCCCCCCCCCCCCCTTATCGCTTCCGCTCCTACCCTCGAGAGGCCCCGCCGCGCCCCTCCTGGGCCCTTCATCTCTCGTAGCCCAGTCGCGCCACCCTGGGCCCTACCGTGCCTCCTAGCTCAGACACGCCCCTTCTGGGCCCAGTCGCTCCTCCTAGCCCAGCCGCGCCCCTCCTGGGCCCCGTCGCCCCTCCTCGCCCAGCCACGCCCCTCCTGGGTCCTATCGCGCCTCAGAGCCCAGTCGCGCCCCTCATGGGCCCCGTCGCGCCTCCTAGCCCCTCCTGGGCCCTAGCGTGCCTCCTACTTCAGTCGCGCCCCTCCTGGGCCCCTAGCGCGCCTCCTCGCCCGTTCGCGCCCCTCCTGGGCCCCGTCGCGCCTCCTAGCCCAGACGCCCCTTCCTGGGCCCTGTCGCACCTCCCTGCTCTGTCGCGCCCCTCCTGGGCCCCGTCCCTCCCTTAGCCCCGTCGCGCTCGCCCGGCCCTCGTCGCGCCTGCCCGGCCCGCGTCGCGCCTGCTCGGCCTCGTCGCACCTGCCCGGCCCCGTCGTGCTCGCCCGGCCCCGTCGCGCCTGCCCGGCCCCCTCGTCGCGCCTGCCCGGCCCCGTCTTCGAGCTTGCTTTCCTGTCCGAGGCTGCTCCCCATCTCTGTTCCATGCTGCTAGTCCCTGAGGGTGACCCAGACGCTTTCGACATCCCGACCCCTCGCACTTACGCTGAGGCGGTTTCGGGACCCTGGGCCTCTCAGTGGATAGCTGCCATGGAGCAGGAGATGGCATCTTGGAGATCCACCGGCACCTTCGTCGACGCAGTTCCCCCACCTGGGGTGAACGTAGTCGATGGCCGCTGGCTCTTCAAGGTGAAGCGCCCTCCTGGAGAGCCGCCTGTGTTCAAGGCGCGCTACGTGGCTAGAGGTTTCAGTCAGCGCGAGGGGGTGGACTTCCTTCAGGGCAGCCTAGACGAGCAGGTCTACCTGCGTCGCCCTCAGGGCTTCACTGGCGCCTTCCCTCCTGGGACCCAGTGGCTTCTGCGGTGCCCAGTCTACGGCCTGCGCCAGGCGCCCCGTGAGTGGCACGACACGTTGCGTGCTACCCTCGCTGACCTGCAGTTCTTTCCGTCCTCTGCAGACCCCTCACTCTTTGTTCGTGCTGGCCAGACTCCGTTTTACATCCTGGTCTACGTAGACGACCTGGTCTTCGCCACTGCAGACAGGGACGCACTGGCCTCCGTAAAGGCAGAGCTGCTGAAGAGACACACTTGCACTGACCTTGGAGAGCTGCGCCGTTACCTTGGTTTGCAGATCTCCAGGGACAGAGCCGCGCGCACCATCACCCTGACTCAGTCACACTTGGTGCGCCAAGTCCTTCAGAGGTTCGGCCTTCAGTTCTCCTCAGCACAGCCCACTCTTCTTCCTCTGGACCACAGACTCTCCGCTCCAGTTCCTGAGGAGTCGGTAGATCCCAGTGGTCCTTACGCTGAGCTGGTGGGTTGCCTCATGTACCTGATGACTTGCACTCGCCCAGATCTCGCATACCCTCTCAGCATCCTGGCGCGCTTTGTGGCCACAGGCAGACACCGACCTCAGCACTGGTCTGCCGCTAAGAGGGTTTTGCGTTATCTTGCTAGTACATCGGGCATGGGGTTAGTGCTAGGCGGACGCAGGCCGGTGGTCCTGACTGGACACACAGACGCTTCTTGGGCAGACGACGCCGAGACGCTCAGGTCTTCCCAGGGCTACTGCTTCAGCCTTGGCTCAGGTGCTGTCTCGTGGAGAGCTACCCGCTCCTCGTCTGTTGCCCAGTCCAGCTGTGAGGCTGAGATCTACGCCGGTGCCATGGCGGCACAGGAGCTCCGCTGGCTGACCTTCTTGCTCGCTGACTTAGGTGAGCAGCCTAGCTCTGCCTCGGTCCTGTACGCTGACAACAGGGCCATGATCCTCTTGTGTCGGGAGCCTCGACTCGAGGGCAGAGCGAAGCATATCCAGCTGCGGTACTTCCTCCTGCACGAGCTACAGCAGCAACGCCAGGCCCGCGTAGTACACTTGGCCTCAGGTGCCAACATCTTTACGAAGGCACTTGCGCCTAAAGATCATCAGCAGCACTGTGTACAGCTTGGTCTAGTTCCTGTAGTCTCTCACTTGCTTGGGCCTTGACTTTGTACTGTCCTATATATATGTACACTCAGACTGGACTTGTGTCCTCTCACAGTGGTTGGACTAGTAGTGCCGTCCTGTACTTGTTCTTGCCTTGTGTGTACTCCTTCTGACTGGTCTTTTAGACCCTTGTCTCAGAGGCTGGACTAGTAGTGCCACCCTGAGCTGTTTTGTCATGACCTGCCCCTATGCAGTCTAGGGGGTGTGTCAAACATGTATATCTACTATGTTTGCATAGACTGAATAGAGTCATGTCTTGTATAGGGTACAACTCTTAGGTATATTCACATGTTCTCTCTCTTTTAATTCATCCTTATACTCTGATAGATTCTTTCCCTAGTCTCGTGCAACACCTGACAAATTATTACAATTTGAACAGTTGGCAAATCCTTATATACCATTTAATCACAAGCGCATTTGAATTAGTGTGTGATGTGATGTGCATCTGACTAGAATGGCCAAATGTAAGGATAATGATGGTCAAATGTCAAGAATTTATTACCCTACAAGCTGAAGCTGCAGACATAAACTACACACTCGTATAGAGAAATCCGATAATGGGTAGTTGTGCCTACTCCACCACTGCCTGCACACAGCCCAATCTCTACCTACCAAGAACTTAGATCTAGGTAGAGCACTCAAAACGCTTCACCAACTTGCAAGGGAGTCCAGCCTCACTAAAAGTACCAGGTCCGCTCGTGTAGCAGCAAGAATGTACCCGTTACAGTCAGAAGTTCAACCGCCTTGGCAACCATCTCCTCTCGTTCCCACTCCCCGCTTTCCGCATCCCTCCCGCAGGCGCTTTCCCCGCGCATAACCCCTCCGCGCCGACACCATTCGCGCTCAGCCTCCGCTGCCGCGACAGCGCGCGCTGCTCCTCCACTTCCGCAAACTCGCGGCAAATCTCCTCCAGCGCGCGCTCCAGCACCGCCGATTCCAGCGCAAACACCACCTGCGGAACTTCCGCAGCTGCCACTTCTTCTGCGGACCAGCGCTCCGTTCCGCGCACCATGTCCCTCCTCGCCGCGTCATCGAGAATGTCGTAAACATCATCTGACGGCGCAACCGGCCAGCTGTGCACCTCCGCCCACACGCGCTGCAGCAGCTGGCGCCCGATGGGGCGCGCGCGGAGAAGCGCAGGCTTGCGCGAGGCGGAACAGCACGAGGCGAAAAAAGACGCCCCATTATCTAACTCCCACAAACCGTAGTTATTACCACCGCCAATATTAGTACTATCCGCGAAGAGCTGGGACGGCCGGCCGGAGCAGCGATTAATCGCCGCGTCTCTGCCAATCGCCGCGTCCTGGACTTGCATCTCCTCGTTAATCTCCAGATAAGGCGCGAGGGTGCGGCCCAGCGCCTCGTTGACAGCGTCGAAGAGCAGCATGCGCTGGCGGCGCTCCTCCGACGTGTTCTGCGCGCCGACCGCGAAGCTGGGGAGCGGAAAGAGCCCCGGAGACGGCGGCCGCGACCCCCCGGCAGCAGCAGCAGCAGCCGCGGCTGCTCCGCCCGCGGGGCTAATGAGACCTGGTAACGCAGTGCCTGTAAGCGGAGGGCTTGTAAGCGAACCGCTCGATAAGGAGGACGCGGATAACGACGAGGGGAATTGTAACTGCTGCGATTTTAGCTGTCCCGTTATTTCAAACTCGAGCTGCTCGAAAACCACCGGGTTTATCGGGAGATTGCGGGAGAAGATGGGCGGCAAAGACGGCCCGCCGAATCCGGAGATGAGGAGCACGTGGCGCACGTACTCGAGGTCCTGCTCCATGCCTGCCACGTCACCGACGATGTCGTGCGGCGACAGGCGGAGGAGGTCTGCGGCGACGTCGCCGCCATGTTGTTGGCTGGGCGACGACGCGAGCGACGTGTGCGACGGCTGCCGTTGCGCGACGGTCGCGCCTGGGTAGCATTCGGCGACGGAGTTGCCCGATCGATCTGATTGGAAGGGAGACAAGCGAAGAGGACAACGAAACGTGAGTTGATAGTAAGACGACGATGACCGGTTACTCCAGACAACGATGGGGACCGGTTATTCCGCGGCCCCGTCATGTCGTTAATGGGAGTCGTAAGACGACGATGACTGGGAGTATGCCAGACAACGAGGGTTACGGCTCTGAATGTCTGCGAGTATGCCATCACATCATGATTTTTGCTTCTATATGTTCTGGTTTTCGCCCCTCACCAGAAAACAATTTCCCATCGGTGGTTACAAAATCCGAACCGTCCGTTCGTAAACGAATCCTTCTCTCGCAAGAGCGGTTCGCCACTCACCGGCGAACAACTCGCCACTGCTGGCTTCGGAGTCGCTCTCGTCGTTCCGTCGGATGCCCACATCGAGCACCGACACCGGGCTGCCCTCCTCTTGTCGCAAACCCATGTGCGACATCTGCGACATGTCTTTCGCCGGCGTATGGCTCCCCTCTGGCTCGAAACCATCGGCATGTTGCGTCGCCAGGGATTGCTGACCGAGGGATGCTTCAGCAGGCTGCAGGCAAGCAACAGGGCAGAAAGGAAGGCAGCGTGGGAGAGAGAAGAGCGGGCAGGATCAGTGATCACTGGGCTACAAGCCAGCTAATCTTGACACTTAGAGCTCGACACTTAGCTACCATTCTCGCTCACCTTGGACAACAATCTCGCATCCAAATCCGCATGACCGCCATAGCCATCCACTGCCCGTTCCGCCTTCTTCGCTCTCCGCGCTCTCTCCGTCTCATCCCCCCCGTCGCGGCCCTTGAATCGACTCTCCAGCCGGCTGCCCTCTTGACGCGGCGAGCGCGGATTACTCCCGCCCCCAGCGCTTCCGCTTGCAGCACTCCCGCTTGCCGCACTCCCGCATGTGGCACTTCCGGTTCCGCCAGATGCACCATACGAGTGTCGCGCTCCCACTCCTCCACGCCCGGCCTTCGCGTCTCCCCGCGTCGCATGCTCGCGCGTGTGTTCTCCACGGTTACGAGCGCTGCTCGTGCTCAAATCAGCCGCCTCTGCAACCTTACCCCTACCGCCACCGCCGCCGCCGTTCACGCCAGCGCCAGCCTTGCTCAAAGAGGAGGAGCCACGGTGGCTAGTCGCACCGTGCACAATAGGCTGCCGCTTCGTTCCAGTAACCGCCAATCGCGGCGACCGCGGCGACCGTGGCTCGGAGCTAATCACCGACCATCGCGGCGAGACAGGCGGAGAGCTGGCAGGAGTTCCTTCCCGGCTTGCCGTCTGGTGCTGCCGGCTTAAGCGGAGCGCGAGGTTCTCCGAGACGTCGGAGCGGCGCCGGCCGGTTGCAGCGCGGGGGGACACGGGTGGGGAAGCGTGCGGGGAGGCGCAGGCGGAAGGGGAAGGGGAGTGGGAAAATTTCGAGTGGTTGGCTGCGGGGCGTCGCTCCAACGTTAATCTCTCCGATGCTGTTCGCGGCTTTTCGTGGCCGCTAGTAACGTCGCCGCCGCTTCGCCCTTTCGCGAGGGTTTTCGCAAGGGAGGATTTCGTTGGCGCGAAGAGCCGGCTAGCGGAGCTAGTGGACGCTGGTTTCTCGCGTTTGACGTCTTTCTTCGATTCTACTTGAGATAAATCAAGCTCGAAGAGGTCTGTATGCTCCTCCTCTTCCGCGTGAAGTTGACGAATTGCCATGTCTGGGCTACGGCCCGAAGACAGGCGTGTGGAAGAAGAGGGACGACAGTGATAGCAGGTCACGCAATTATTAGCCCTCACTGCGGCTGGAACTAAGCACTTTGCGGCACGTTTTCTCGTGTTCTCCCAGGGAAACTACAAGTTAATGAAGTTGCAGGTTCTCTTCGAGAACCCACGCAGCGAGAGGTGTGACAGGTTTCGCGTGAAGGGATTTGACAATGACGGGAAGTGGTGTGGCCTACCAGTGACGTCCTGTGGAACCAAAGAAAATGAAGGGGAATGGAGGTACCCAGGAAGGTAGAAATGGTAGGGGACCGAAATCGGCGCAGTTTGAACGTGATTTGCAATTCAGCTGCATGCGACGCGACGCGACACGACAAGAGGAGGAGGTGAGTGCGAGGGAGATGGTGGAACGAATTGGGGGAGATTGTGCGCTTGATTCCCCCGGACCGCGGTTATCCTTTGGTTTGATTTTATCGCCTCGGGGCGGAGCACCAGCCAGCGCACCAAGCTGCCTTGACATGCCGCGACGACATCCAGACCGAGAAATGCGGAGGGGAGAATTGGGAGAGGACGTGGCGTACTTTTGGGGGGAACTAAGAGCCCGCCAAATTTCTCGAGAATCGAGGTGGGACCCTTTCACGAGGAATGGGGGTCCTTTCGCGAGAGGCAACTCTGTCAGTCGGCGCTTCGCCGCGTTGCACGATGTTTGAGCTCGTTTGACGAATTTCGCTACGAGGAGTTACAAGTTCGACAAGCATATCCTGGCCTGCCTTGCTGCACGTCATCCGAGCCCTTTTGGGGGGACATTGGCGGCGGTGATGTGCGCGGGCTGCTTCGGCCAATCACAAGGTCGAAACTCAAACTTTTCAATGCCTTCTTTTTTCACAGCACGGATCGTCCTTGTTGACTTCTACCACTGAGAAGAGCGGTCCAAACCAAAGGCAGGGGTTCCAAAACCTAGGGCGTGGTACATACAATCATGCCCTCTCAATCACGGGACCGAGTCACGAAAACACTGAGGCAGAACGCCGAACACCGTTGGAACTTCCGTTCCCCGAACGGAGGTAGGTTCGGAAACTCAACCTGGTACCGAACCTTTCGAGTATTTGAACCTATAATTTGGCGAGCTCGCGAAATCGGAGGCAAGCGGACATGACAGCTGGTTACGACTAGATCTCTGAAATTCACGGCCCGGCTCTTTTCGTCATTTTCGCGCTTGCGATACAGGTGACAAAACAAACTGTCGTGACTTTGGTCAGGGTTGGTTGCCGTTTGAAACGCAACTCTAACGGCCCTGGTAACGCAATTATAGCACAATCTTCGTGAATCCATTCGCGAGCAATGTTGCGACACCTGGCGAGACATGTTACCATGCTGTTTCCAAAACAGGGCCCAATCACGTGATTGTATGTACCAAGCCCTTACAGCCACTAAATCTTTATGCATACAGTTTCACACTCAGTGCTGAAATTCGTTCTAAAGAGAGTTCCAGGCATCGTTTTATGTAGCCATCACATTGTGCATTTAGCTAAGTCCTAAAAGCTCAGATACAGTCGATGTACCCCATGTACGATGGGTCAGTGAAAATTGGGATGCACAATCTTTCAATGTCGAGATTTCAAGCACCTGCTCACAATGTCCGTGGTTTCCATATCACCGTACGGAACTGAAAGCTAACCACCCTCACCACACGCCATCCCTCCTCTGCCAAAGTTTCCCCCATCTGTCCCACTCAATCCGCAAACGCCTGCTTGCATCGCTTATTGTGATCCTCTCCTCCTGTTACAAGGCGAAAGAGAACTCACCCAAAGTTCGCCAACGCAGCGAACTGTAGATGTCAAGGTTGGATTTGTCCAACCAAAATCGTGCGCCTCAAACTGAACAATTCCTCGACCCCAAAATTGTACAGCTGCCTGTAAGGCACAGCACGACTCTAGAGCAGATTCCGAGAGCTAGCAAAGCGTGGAAAGCGCCAGCGCAACCTAGAGATTAACTACTGCAGCTACTACAAGTGCCAGCAAAGTCTACAATCGACATCTACAAGGTGACGAAGACGCCAGCACTACTTGGAAAATGAAAAGTACTTGTATAGTTAATTCCTATGCTTGTTTAGCTATTTCCTAGGAGAGACAACAAGGCAAGACTACTTGCAAATAATCATGAGCTTGCTTGCTTGTCTCCAGCTAGGATAGAAATGCCAAGGCGCCACGGGCGACCTTATCTAGGCGCCTTTAGAAGTACCAAGATGCCAAGAAAGCTTTCCTAGTATAAGTGTGCTCTCTTCTTTGTTTGAAGCTATCATATGATCAAGTGATTATGCTAGCACTCTTTCTTCAAAGATCCCTCAACCTCTACTCCTACTAACAGCCCCAGAGCTGTTATATTTGGTCTCAGAGCCACGTTCCAGCAAAAAAAAATTCTAGAACGTCATGACATCCGAGCAACCCCCTTCTCCAGACAATTGGGCGGCTTTTCTAAAGAATTACCGCGCCCAAATCGTTTCTGAACTTCGTGAGAGCTCGCGAGCTGAGTTGCAAGCTACTATGGCTGCAGCCCGTGCGGTAGCAGCGAATCCTCCTCCTGCTACACCTTCTGGAGATAGTCAGCGCGCTAGACCTGCGATTCCCGATTTCTTCATCCCAGGCAGAAGTCAATCCGTTGTTAGTCGTTGGCTCTTTTTAGTAAAGCAATACTTGACGCTGAGCCACGTTGCACCTTCCGAGTGGAGCGCCTTTGCCGGCACGTTACTCCGCGGCTCCGCAGTTGCTTGGTGGCAAGCTGCACACACCTCCATCACCTCGTGGCAGCACTTTACGCAAGCGTTCACGGCCGCCTTCCAACCGGTGAATCCGAGCATCAAGGCGCGTGATCGACTTGCGGCTCTCAAGCAGCTGAAATCCGTTCAAGAGTACGCCGCCAACTTCCGCGACATCGCCCAAGAAATCCCCGACCTCTCCAACGCTGAATGCATGGACCGCTTCAAACGTGGGTTGAAGCAGAACGTGCGTATGGAGGTTGAGCTGAGGGGATTGCACGGCGCTTGAGGAAATGATCAGAGTCGCTGAACGGTATGACTCAATTCAATTTGCTTACAAAGCAAGGTTTCCTCGCGCCCCGTTGCTCCCTTTTGCTCCCTCCTATCAGCCCTCTGTTTCGACAGGCTACGCTCAGCAAGAACCTGCTCCGATGGACCTGGATGTGATGGAGAAGAAGCGGAATCAGAACCCCTCCGTCGTCTGCTTCAAGTGCGGCAAGAAAGGTCACATCTGGCGATTCTGCCGCAGTCCTCCAAATTCAAAACCACTTCTTCCTACCCCTGGAAAAGGTGGTCACCAGTAAGTGCGGGGCGACTTTCTGGTGCAACCCCTAGCCCCATGATCGCTTCCCTTGAAAACCCTTCTCCCTCTAAACACCTTTACCTCTCTATGACCATTCGAGGCCGAGTCGTTAAAGCCTTGATTGACAGTAGTGCCTCCTCTAATTTCATCTCTTCCTCACTGATCTCTGAATCATCCCTCCCTCTCCAACCAGACATAAAACCTCATACGGTCTTACTTGCCGACGGGTTGTCCCTCTCGTGTGGCCCTGTCCCTTATCCCGTTAACTGCACCATCGGATCTTACAAGGACAAGCTCTACTTTCATCAAGCCCCCTTAAAAGGTCACGATGTCATTCTTGGGAGAAACTGGCTTTCTGCCAAGAACTCGTCCATTGACTGGACCCATGACCATGTCACCGTCAAGCATAACGGCACAGGCATCATCCTACCTCAATTCCCTTCTTCCCCTTCCTTACCTACCTGCAATCTTCTTTCTGCAAGACAGATAAAGAAATCCCTTAAAGACCCCACTGCACAATTCTTCCTCTGCTATGTTCACAAAATTTCTCAAGTCTCATCTATCCCTCCATCTCCTCCTGTGTCTAATGACCCCCCTGAAATTCAGAAGCTTCTTTCTGAATTTAAGGATGTCTTTCCCTCAGACCTTCCTCCAGGACTACCACCCAAATGAGCCGTTGACCACAGAATCTGCCTACAGCCTGGATCTGAGCCTACTGTGCGTGCTACATATCGGATGAGCACGGCGGAGTTGCAAGAAGTCCAGAAGCAACTTGAGGAGCTCCTGGACAAAGGCTTCATCCGCGTAAGCTCATCGCCCTATGCAGCACCAATCCTCTTTGTCAAAAAGAAGGATGGCAGCATGCGCATATGCATCGACTACCGTGCACTCAACAAAATCACCATCAAGAACCGCTACCCCCTTCCTCGCGTTGAGGAGCTTTTCGACCAGTTGGGTGAGGCCAAAATCTTTTCTAAGCTTGATCTTCGTAGCGGCTATCACCAAGTACGTGTCGCTGATGAAGATATTGAGAAAACTGCCTTTCGAACGCGGTATGGGCACTTTGAATTCCTTGTCCTTCCCTTTGGACTGACAAATGCCCCATCCACTTTCATGTGTATGATGAATGATATCTTCCGTGATTTCTTAGACCGATTTGTCATTGTCTTCATTGATGACATTTTGATCTATAGCAAATCATTGGATGAGCATGTTCATCATATAAGACAGGTGCTGACTCGTCTACGCCAGCACCACCTTTTCGTCAAACAAACCAAGTGTGAGTTTGCTCGGTCCTCGATTCCTTTGTTGGGCCATATTATCTCACACAATCAGTTGTCCATGGACCCTTTTAAGGTAAAAGCTGTCCAAGATTGGAAGCCTCCAACTTCCATCAAAGAACTGCAAGCCTTTCTTAGCCTCGCTAACTATTATCGAAAGTTCATTCAACACTTTGCTGCAATCACTTCCCCCCTTTCTAACCTATTGTGTAAGACAGAAGGATTCCACTGAGGACCAGACGAAGACAAAGCCTTTGAAGCCATCAAACAAGCCTTAACCTCTTCTCCTACTCTAGCCCTTCCCAACCCTTCCCTTCCCTACACCATATGGACAGATGCCTCCAGTGTTGCAACGGGTGCAATCCTTTGTCAAGATCATGGACATGGCCTTCAACCCCTTGCTTTCGACTCTTGAAAGCTCAAACCTGCTGAGTGCAACTATGCCACTCATGACCGTGAGATGTTGGCCATTGTCCATGCCATAAAAAAGTGGCGTTGCTATGTCCATATGCAACCCGTCACTGTCCTTACTGACCATTGCACCCTTCAACACTTCAAGACCCAACCTCACCTTACCCCCAGACAGGCTCGTTGGATGGACTACTTGGAGCATTATGTGCCTGAATTAAAGATTGAGACCGTGCTGGTCGCCGCAATCCTACTGACTCATTGACTCGACCTCTACCCTCTCAGCTTTCAGTCATTGGCACAGTGACTTGGGATGAGAACTTCATTAGCAAGTTCACCAAGGGATATCGGCGTGACTCATTTTACCTCTCCTCTGCCCTTACCCATAAGTCTGTCTAATATGAATCCCCTTTCTGGTACAAGACAGACTCTCACGCCATCTGTGTCCCAGCAAACCGAAAGTTGCGTCACCTCTTGCTTCGCGAGCATCATGATCAGAACGCACACTTTGGAGTTGACAAGACGCTTGCGGCCATCTCTGCTAATTTCTTCTAGCCCAGGCTCTCTCGTCACATTCGCTCCTACGTGCGCTCCTGCCATATCTGTCAGTGTAACAAAGCTCGCAAAGCTCCCTTGTCACTCTTGACTTCATCACTGATCTCCCCCTTACTGCCTCTCATCATAATGCCATTCTCACTGTCGTTGACAAGCTCTCTAAAATGGCGCATTTCAATCCCACATCCACCATAGCTACTGCACAGCATACTGCTGAGCTTTTCTTCAAAGAGGTGGTGCGTATTCATGGCGTCCCCTCTGTTCTAATCTCTGATCGTGATTCCCGTTTTCTTAGCCGATTTTGGCAAACCCTCTTCAACAGGCTCGGGACCAAGATTCGCCTCTCAACTGCCTATTACCCTCAGTCAGATGGGCAAACTGAAAGGATGAATCGAACGCTTGAAGATGGTCTGCGAGCCTGCGTCAACGCGGGCCAGAACGATTGGAATCTCCACCTACCTGACATTGAGTTCTCCTACAACAACACAATGAACCTCGCCACTGGACAGACCCCCTTCTACCTTGCTACTGGACAGAACTCTCGCACTCCCTCTTCACTCGTACACAGCCCCACTCGAGATACTACAGCAACTGCTTTCCTCAGCAGCAAGAACACAGTCATTGCAACAGCACGTGCATCTCTTCTTCGAGCACAGCGGCGTATCATCCACTGTGCTGACCAGCATCGGTGTGATATCCAATTCAAAGAAGGTGACCAGGTTCTCCTCTCAACGGCCAATCTCCCTCTACTGCGAGAAGGCCTTACTCGAAAACTGGCTCCTCGCTTCATTGGACCCTTCACTATCACCCAAGTCCTCTCTCCTCTCACCTATCTTCCACGTTCAACTTCTACGCCCTTACCATCAACCCCCTTCTCACTTTCCCTCATCTTCTAGGCCTCCTCCTATGTTCACTCCAAGTCCTGACCTTTCTGAAGCTGAGATCATCCTTGCTCATGAAGACACCTGCAACGGCACCTACTACCTCGTGAAGTGGCGTGGGCAAGATGAGTCCCACAACCTTTGGATTCATGAGAGTGGTTTCCAATACGCGCAACGAGCCCTTACTAAGTATCTTGCTTCCAGGGCAGCACCGAGGACGGTGCTCACTGGGGAGGGGAGTAATGTTACAAGGCGAAAGCGAACTCACCCAAAAGTTCGCCAACTCAGCGAACTATAGATGTCAAGGTTGGATTTGTCCAACCAAAATCGTGCGCCTCGAACTGAACAATTCCTCGAACCCAAAATTGTATAGCTGCCTGTGAGGCACAGCACGACTCTAGAGCAGATTCCGAGAGCTAGCAAAGCGTGGAAAGCGCCAGCGCAACCTAGAGATTAACTACTGCAGCTACTACAAGTGCCAGCAAAGTCTACAATCGACGACATCTACAAGGTGACGAAGACGCCAGCACTACTTGGAAAATGAAAAGTACTTGTATAGTTAATTCCTATGCTTGTTTAGCTATTTCCTAGGAGAGACAACAAGGCAAGACTACTTGTAAATAATCATGAGCTTGCTTGCTTGTCTCCAGCTAGGATAGAAATGCCAAGGCGCCACGGGCGACCTTATCTAGGCGCCTTTAGAAGTACCAAGATGCCAAGAAAGCTTTCCTAGTATAAGTGTGCTCTCTTCTTTGTTTGAAGCTATCATATGATCAAGTGATTATGCTAGCACTCTTTCTTCAAAGATCCCTCAGCCTCTACTCCTACTAACCGCCCCAGAGCTGTTATACCTCCCCGATTCCCGCCTGATCTCTGGGCGACGCCTACGTGCTAGACGTGACACGACGCGACGCTAGTCTCTTGCCATGGCAGGTAGTAGTGGTGGGTGCCACTGTCATGGTGCCTTGAGCGAGACCGCCCCCCCCCCCCCGAAGAACCAAATTTTCTTGTCTAATTTTCAAGCGCCTTTTCGTACTAGGAATGAAGGCTACTTTCGCGTTTGAATCTTGGCTCCTCCGAGCCGTCTTGTCTGACTTTCAGGAGTCCTATTCCAATGCACACCATTCCACATCACGCCGCAGCATGCTGCTCGGCTCTTCTGTCCTTCTCCAATCCCCTCTTCCCGCCTTAGTTTCCTCCCCGTTGCTACGTCATGGCATGCCGTTCGGCACCCTGTCCTTTTCCAATTGCTCTACCCGTCTCAGTTTTTCCTCGCCGCATTGGAAATAGGTACTGCACAGCACGGTGCTCGCAGCTCTTATTGACCACAAGGGGACGCGGGTGTGGTCGTGGGTGCGTTTTCAGTGGAAAAGCAGAACAGTATCAGTCGGGAGTCTCAAACTCAGCAGGAATTCCCCGCCGCACCGGACGTACAGCGCAACACGGCTGCCATAGCACTGCTCACAGCTCTTCTTGACCAGGGGACGCGGGTGCGGGCGTGGGTGTGTTTTCAGTTAAAAACTGAACGTTGTCAGTTGGGACTCTCGTTTTCATCGGGAATACCCCGCCGCCGCACCTGACGTACAGTGCAGCACGGCCGCCGTAGCATTGATCCGGCCCCATGCCACCCAGCAGTAGTACTGCTTGACTGTGAGGAAGCGCCGCGACGCGTAGGGGATAAGGTGAGGAGAAATCATGTAGGGGCCATAATATAGGCCCCTGTCACCGAAGGGAATGGCCAGTGCATGGATCAACGAGTTCCCCCGAACCGATTCTCTGGAACGGGTTAATCTGTCATCGGGCGTTCTCGCGCGTGAAGATTTGACGAGGAGACTGCGCTGCGCGCGTAATACGGGACAGGAAACGGATCACATTCGCAGCTCGCACTTGAGTTAAGTTGTCATCCTAACAACGGCTCGCACTCGCGGCTGACCTTTTTAGCATTTGACTTCCGGAAATAACTAAACTACTCACTCCTTCAGAGCTCCTTCAAAAGCCTGCTCTGGGTGCAACGCTGAGTCCGCATCGTGTCATGTTATCCCTCTCACGCTATCCTTCTCACGCTTCTTCCGCGCCCGCCATTGGGTCACGTCGGTTCTGTTTCGTGGCCTAACACATAGTGAGATTGGGTTTTGTTGGTGACCCAGTTTCAGCTCCCTAGGCAAAGCAAAAGCATGAAACAAGGCACCAACCATGTCATAAAACTGCGTATTTGTGGCGTTGCATATTTTTTTTACACTCTGTTGTGCGGACCCCTCATTGAGGAGACCGTAGTGGTTACATTGCCCTACCTTGCCAGCTTGTATATTGGAGGAGCATAATTCATGAGGTGAGTAAGTAGGTTAGGGAGTGCTTGTGCCAGCTTGCGCTACCTCATTAGAGGAGTCAATGTCTTATGCAACATGTCATTTTGTGCACGAAATCATAAAATGCAGAAGTGCTCACATCATTTTGACTCAAAAGCACCTAGGGACTTGTCTATATGAGAATGCCCTATATGTCATTGTGTGAAGCTAGCGATAGGATCGGGCTTGAGACAATTTTAGCCAAAATTTGAGGATAATATAGTGGAACGAAACTACCAAATTGATTGCATTCGAATGCAATGTGAATTGGTGAACAATCGTTTGTTTTGTGCATTGTAACGGATTGTTAAAATCGATCTCCTTATAGCGTCTCCAAAGTGCCCAGCGACATCCAACGACATCCATTGGCATCCTGGATGTCGAGGCACCGATCTAGAGACCTTATGTATTCTTCTAAAACCTTACTAGATCGTACTGGAACTACCTCGGATGCCGCCGGATGTCGACGACATTTGTCGACATCCCACTCTGGACACCCCAGAAGCAGTAACAGTTCGCCGACTACTTTCGGATGCTTGATGGCTGGGGGTTGAGGGGGAACTTGGCTTGCCTGGCTACCATCCTGATCAGGCTCAGGCAGGTGGGCCGTGCTGTTCACCTTGCATTTGCTCCTGGCGTTTCGTTTCATCTGTGCCCTGCACCTTGGGATTTCAACAACCTCGCAGGGGAAATGCGTCCAGCCTAGTTCACAAACGACAAACCCAACAGCCTAGCTAACTCGTTTATTCCGCTCAAATTCGCTTCTCGTAGGCGAAAACTGCTTTCCACCTGGTTGAGGGGAATGGTACCTCGCCATCAGCTGGTTACCCTCCACGTCGCCATCGCTTACGTTGCTTGGCGTCAAATTAGTCAGCACCTACAGTATTTTATGCCACGGCCTAGAAGGTGGCGTGGCGGATGGCTCGCATGCAGATTGCCATGCGACTGTACGAGAGTCGTCGTCGTGGAGCATCTTTGTCGTCGCCGTGCAGTTCTGCCCTGCCTTTCGTCGCGTGAGGGGAGGGGAGGGGACATGGCGACGAGGGATTATCGTCGCATCCGCCACCAGGCCAAGCAATTTCCCCCCCATCCCTTCAGAGTGTCCTGCGTTCATTCTCGCTCAATACCATATCCAACCGTTTTAGATTGGATATTTGAACCCTCTTACCCAAAAAACACCTCACCCAACCGCAATCGGACGTACGCTTAGAACACGCCCACTTCACCACTTCACTGTTTGGCTTCGCCTGATCATTACCACTCTGCACTGCACTCTCCCCCATTGCTGTACCGCGCACGAATCTCCATTCGCCACCACCCATCCACCCATCTCCCACCCACTCCACTCCACACCACACCAACGCCAACGTTCATTCAGCTAGTTCTGCTGCCGCTTTCGACTCTGCCATCGCATCACACCCACCTTGTATTCTGCTCTTTCTGGTCAATTATCGACCCTCTTTGACCTTACCTTACCTTACCTAGAGCTGCGTAGTGCGAGATGTCGCCGCTAGATCAGCAGCAGCAAGAGCCGTCGCCAACAGGCTTTGGCTATTGAGGCGCCAAGGCATCAAGACATCAAGACATCGAGTCCTCAATTCCTGTCAAGTCTTCCGAAATGTCGCCGCTAGATACGCCGCAGCAAGAGCCGTCGCCAACAGGCTTCGACTCGAGTCAGAGATTAACAGCGTTTTACCCGGGTTTAAAACCAGCGGCATTAGAGCCGAGCTTGAAATCAACGGCAGCGCGAGAGGCGCCGGCATGTGCGCCGCGAGAGGCGCCATCATGTGCGGCGACGGTGGGCATCTGGTCGATGAACGTGGTGGGGGCGGTGGGGATCATCATGGTGAACAAGCAGGTCATGTCCGGATACGACTTTGTATTTGGTAAGCTCCCCTTATAGTCACACTCGGTTAGATTCACACACGCCTGCAGGCATCTGGTCGATGAACGTGGTGGGGGCGGTGGGGGATCAGATCATCATGGTGAACAAGCAAGTCATGTCCGGATACGACTTTGTATTTGGTAAGTGCTGCTTATAGTCACACTCGGTTACATTCACGCACGGCTACAGTCACATACAGCTACCGTCAGACACGGCAATGGCGTGTGATGGGGTCGGTGGGGGATCATCATGGTGAACAAGCAAGTCGTGTCCGGACACACACGGCTACAGCCATGCATGCATATAACCACTCACTATTACAGTCACAAACGGAAACAGCAGCCTGAGGGATCGATGAGGGTCGTCATGGGGATCAAGCATGTCATGTCCGCCGGATACGACTTCGTATCGTATCGGTGAGTGACTGGCTATACTCGTATCGTATTGGTACGGATAGTGAGGTCACTGAGGGGAGGGAGTGTGTGATGGGATCCGTGAGGCTGCTTGAAGGCTACTTGTAGCAAGCTAGGCTGGCCGTCCGCACCCACCGGGGTACTGTACGCTTCGCACTTTCCTCACTCGCTCTCTCCCTCTATCTCCTCCTCTCCCTCCCCCCCCCCCCCCCCCCCCCCCACAGTTTCAACGCTAACAGGAATGCACTTTGCACTCACAGCACTCACAGGGGTGGCGTCGGCATGTGCTGGTTTAGTCCCCAGCAAGCTCTCCGTGCCCTTCGGTGTGCTCCTAGGCTTCGCTCTGCTGGGCAACGCCAGCCTCGTCGCCACGAATCTCAGCCTGCTGCTCAACTCCGTCGGTTTCTATCAGGTGAGCTTATAGCGGGTCCCCTTGGACCGGTTAGCTGGTCCCCAGCAAGCTCTCTGTGCCCTTTAGCGTGCTCCCAGGCTTCGCGCTGCTGGGCAACGCCAGCCTCGTGGCGACGAATCTCAGCCTCTTGCTCGACTCCTTTGGCTTTTACCAGGTGAGCTCTTACCAAGTCAGCTTTTAGCGAGTCTACTAGTGTGTGCTCTCCTATGCTTCAATCTGCTGGGTAACGCCAGCCTCGCCGCGGCGAATCTCAGCCTCTTGCTCAACTCCATCAGCTTTTATCAGGTCAGCTTATAGCAAATGGGTCGCAAGGTTCAGCCGGTGTGCTTGGCCAGGCTAGCTGGTCCGCAGTGCTGGTGGTAGTGGTGGTGGTAGTGGTGGTGGTAGTGGTGGTGGTGGTGGTGGTAGTGGTGGTGGGAGCGGCCCCCTGCGCTGTGTCTGTCTGTCTGACAATTCTTTGACTCACGTCATTCTCTCCCCTCCTTTGGTGATTTTTGAGTCGACTCAAAAATCATCTTTGACTCACGTCATTATCTCCACTCCTTTGGTGATGTTTGAGTCGACTCAAAAATCATCTTTGACTCACGTCATTCTCTCCCCTCCTTTCCTTCCTCCTGAAGTGAGCCAAAGAATTGTCAGACAGACACAGTGCAGTCTGCCCATCCCAACCGACCGTTTTATGGAAACAGTGTTCAAAGGAAGGACGCTCACTCGCAGAGTCAAACCAGCGCAGCGGTGGCCGTGGTGATGATGGGGTGGCGGTGGCCCTCTGCTGCACTGCAAGGGCCGTTCCCCACCCCCTCCCAGTCAAAGCAGCGGTGGCTGTGCTGATGGTGGGTGAGGTGGACCTCTGCACTGTGTCTGAGATCCCAATCTCATGTCCCCCTCTCCCCCGCCACGCTCTCTCCTGCCCCACCCTGTGTTCAAGGGCCGTCCTCCCCCCCCCCCCCTCCCCCCCCGGTCAAAGCAGCGGTGGCTGTGGTGGTGTGGTGGTGGGTGAGGTGGCTCTCTGCACTGTCCCTGGGATCCCAATCTCATCTCTCCCCCCCCCCCCCATTCACTCCCCCCCCCCCCCCTGGCCCTCTCCTGCCACACCCCATCCCCCCACCCATCGCAGATCTCCAAAGTGAGCATCATCCCGACCGTCTGTTTCTTAGAAGCAGTGTTCAAGGGCCGTTCCTTTCCCCCCCCGGTGAAAGCAGCAGTGGTGGTGGTGATGGTGGGGGTGGCCCTCTGCACTGTTTCTGAGATCCACGTCAACCCTCTGGGGCTATGTGTTGCGGCATTCGCCGTGCTCTGCTCTGCCATGCACATGATGGTACGT